GGCTCGTGCTCCTGTCCTGGCCTCTGCAAACTTTCTAGTCTGGCCTCAGCTCCCCTTTCCAGCCTCTACCTTCCCACTCCCTTGGACCCCACATCCAGCTACCCTTAGGTCTTCACAGTTCCCAGAAAGCCTTAAGCTCTCTCTTTCAAGCCCAGGGAGGCCCCGCTGGTCTCCCCAGGTAGAATAAACCTTCAGCTGTCCTGTGGCTCCATGCAGCCTGCTTCACTGTCTGCTGATTATCTACTGAGCATCTGTCACTGCTGCTGGTCTGGGAGCACCTCAAGGACATGGACATGTGTCCTTTTCATCTTTCTACCCCAGCCCCTAACCACATGACACAACAAGGACAACACCCAGGGAAGGGCGCTGAAGGATCGCCTGAACAGCTGCCCCTCTTCTCACAAAGCAACACGAGTAAACACAAAACGTCAGGACCTTTAGGCAGAGCAGAGAAGAGCCTACATGACCCGAAACCCCATAGGGTGGGGAAGAGCTAGGGGAGTGGGTCTAGCTACTAATACAGCTGTCTTTGGTTTCTCAGTTGGATTAGGTCCTTTATGAGGATTGCTTTATGAGCGCCTGAGGGAGGAAGGGGTCAGAACAGGATTCAGACAATCACAGCTTCCTACTTGTAACACATGGCAGCATCATCCACCTTGTTCTTGAGGCCCTAGGGTTGTTGTAGGGAAGCCTTGCATTGCCTTTGGTTGGCAGATGGGCAGGTAAGCAGCCCTGGGCTGGCTGTGGCTCCTCTCATCTCCCCTTATTCCTCTTTGCCTTTGGTGATCAAGCCATACTCCCCCATGGCTGCCATTAATGGTCAGGGGCAGGAAGGAGGGGCAGAGGGCAGGGCATGGGTCTTGGGTTAAGACAGACCTGGGTTTGGACTCCACCTCTGTCACCTCCTGGCTGTGTGATCCTGGGCAAGCTGTTTAAATGCTGAGCCTCTGTTTCCTTGTTCATGAAATGAAGGTCATATCAAGAATTAGCTACCTTGAACTGAATTGTGTCCCCTCCAAAAACGTTGCATGATTTTTGTTGCAATGATAGGGCATGTTGAAGCCCTAACCCCTGAAGTGATGGTATTTGGAGATGAGGCCTTTGGGAGGTTACTGGCATTAGTGGAGGTCATCGGGGCGGCCTCAAGGTGGGATGAGTGTATTGCTCTCTTGAACTTTTCCTCTCTGCCATGTACAGACAGTGGGAAAGAGGCCATCTGCAGAAGGAAGGCCATCTGCAGACAACGAATCCACTGGCACTTTGATTTGGGATTTCCAGGGTGCAGAAAGATGGGAAAATAAATGTCCATTGCTGAAGACCCCAGCTCCCATTCCCCCAGGCACTGGCACATCACACTCTACCAACTTCCTAATTTGCTACCATGTTGGCCCAGCCAGGCCTTTGTGTATGTGCTTCAGCTCCCCACCTCCCTCTGACACCTGTGGAAATCCTACACATCCCTCAAAACTCAACTCAAATACCACTTCCTCCAGGTTGCCATCCCTGATCCCCAAAGTTGGACACATTGTAGACTTTTAGCAATGCTTGCTGAATGAATGAGTGAGTAACAGGATTGCTCCTTCCTCATGTTCACGATCAGTTCTTGAACCCAAATAATTCTATGCCAGGTGCAAGTTTCTCATATCCACAAACCATGAGCGCAAAGGTTCTCCCCACTCTCCGCTGGATGTTTTGATGAACTTTCAAGATGAAACAAGAGTCCAAATTTCCAGTCCTCTTTCTAAGACAAATACGGACAACCCAGATCCCCGTCTCAGGATGACATCATAATGACAAAATCAAAGATCACTGACTGCTGCTGGTGCCTCTGGAAGCCATCTAGGCCCCCTGTTTTTAAACCATTTTTAGCAACAGAACTCAAAACTGTCAGAGAATTAACAGCATTTTTTAAAAACAGAACTCCTATTCACAATTGCTACAAAGAGAATAAAATACCTAGGAATACAGCTAACAAAGGATGTGAGGGACCTCTTCAAGGAGAACTACAAACCACTGCTCAAGGAATAAAAGAGGACACAAACAGATGGCAAAACATTTCATGCTCATGGTTAGAAAGAATCAATATCATGAAAATGGTCATACTGGCCCAAAGTAATTTATAGATTCAATGCTATCTCATCAAGCTACCATTGACCTTTTTCACAGAACTGGAAAAAACCACTTTAAACTTCATATGGAACAAAAAGAGAGCCCACATAGCCAAGACAATCCTAAGCAAAAAGAACAAAGCTGGAGGCATCATGCTACCTGACTTCAAACTATACTATAAGGCTACAGTAATCAAAACAGCATGGTGCTGGTACCAAAACAGAGATATAGACCAATGGAACAGAACAGAGGCCTCAGAAGTAATACCACACATCTACAACCATCTGATCTTTGACAAACCTGACAAAAACAAGCAATGGGGAAAGGATTCCCTGTTTAATAAATGGTGTAGGGAAACCTGGCTAGCCATGTGCAGAAAGCTGAAACTGGACCCACTCCTGACACCTTACTCTAAAATCAACTCCAGATGTTGATTTTAGATTTAGACATAAGACATAACACCATAAAAACCCTAGAAGATTACCTAGGCAATACCATTCAGGACATAGGCATAGGCAAGAACTTCATGACTAAAACACCAAAAGCATTGGCAACAAATGCCAAAATAAACAAATAGAATCTATTTAAACTTAAGAGTTTCGGCACAGCAAAAGAAACAATCATTAGAGTGAATTGGCAACCAACAGAATTGGAAAAAAATTTTGCAATCTACCGATCTGACAAAAGGCTACTATCCAGAATCTATAAAAAACTAAAGCAGATTTATAAGAAAAAAACAAACCAATTCAAAAGTGGGAAAAGGATATGAACAGACACTTTTCAAAAGAAGACATTTATGAGGCCAAGAAACATATGAAAAACTGCTCATCATCACTGATCATTAGAGAAATGCACATCAAAACCACATTGAGATACCATCTCACGCCAGTTAGAATGGTGATCATTAAAAAATCTGGAGACAACAGATGCTGGAGAGGATGTGGAGAAACAGGAACACTTTTACACTGTTGGTGGGAGTGTAAAGTAGTTCAACCATTGTGGAAGACAGTGTGGCAATTCCTTAAGGATCTAAAAATACCATTCAACCCAGCAATCCCATTACTGGGTATATACCCAAAGTATTATAAATCGTTCTATTATAAAGACACATGAACATGTATGTTCATTGTGGCACTGTTTACAGTAGCAAAGACCTGGAACTAACCCAAATGCCCATTGATGATAGACTGGACAAAGAAAATGTGGCACATATACACCATGGAATACTATGCAGCCATAAAAAAGGATGAGTTCATGTCCTTTGTAGGGACATGGATGAATCTGGAAACCATCATTCTCAGCAAACTAACACAAGAACAGAAAACCAAACACCACATGTTCTCACTTATAGGCGGGTGTTGAACAATAAGAATATATGGGCACAGGGAGGGGAACATCACACACTTGGATCTGTTGGGGGGTGGGGGGCTCGGGGAGGAACAGCGGGGCATGGGAAGGTTGGAGAGGGATAACATGGGGATAAATTCCTGATGTAGGTGACGGGGGGATGGAGGCAGACAATGGCATGTGTGTACCTATGCAACAATACTGCAAGATCTGCACATGTACCCCAGAACTTAAAGTACAATTAAAAAAAAAAAAAAAAAAAAAAAAAAAAACAGAACAGAACTGACCTGCACAAATAGTGCTTAGATCCCTGAGGCACCTCTGCAAAATTCCAGGGCTCCTGGGAACCTTTGAGACTCACTGTCCCAGGCTTCCCCTGCCTTTTGTACACAAGGATGCTGGACTCCCAAGCAAGAAAAGCCTGGAAGGCACCCAGGGCTGTCCTTGGTCTGCTTCCTGTCGGTCCCCAAAACAGCCTGTGCTCCAAGAACCTGGAGCTCCCCACATTCCCCGATGTGTCCTACACCCCAGGCTTCCATCTCTCACTCCACCTCCAAAACTTGGTCAGGCATTAGTTCCTGCAGGAAAGCTTCCCTCACACCTCCATCCTGCCCTTACCCGTGGGTGGTGGTAGGTCAAAGCCAAAGCCAGCAGCCATGGAATAGCACCTAAACCTTACAGCCTAGGTAGGTGGGACTCAACCTTTAACTGGGAACCAGAGGCACAACGTGAAGAGGGCCTGGGGGAATTGCACCTGGATCTGACTTCAGAGTGAAACAAAAGCCAAAGATGGGTCTTATCCAGCAGACACCCAAGTGGCCTCTGGTTGTAATTTAAAGTCAACAAAAACAGGCCAGGCACAGTGGCTCAAGCCTATAATCCCAGCACTTTGGGAGGCCAAGGCGGGCAGATCACTTGCGGTCAGGAGTTCCAGACCAGCCCGGCCAACACGGCAAAACCCCACCTCTCCTAAAAATACAAAAATCAGCCGGGCAGGGTGACAGGCGCCTGTAAATCCCAGTTAGTGGAGAGGCTGAGGCAGGAGAATCATTTGAACCCAAGAGGTGGAGGTTGCAGTGGGCTGAGATCATGCCACTGCACTCCAGCCTGGGTGACAGAGCAAGACTCCATCTCAAAGATAGAAAAATAAATAAATATCAACAACAACAAAACAAATCAAGAAAATGTCCTAGTTTCCATACATAAGGCCCCTCCTGCTCCTTTCCCTGGCATTAGGGCCCAGAGGATCCCCCCACCCCTGCCTCCCCAGGACTTCCGAAACCCCCTTCATCTGGTCTCCCAACTTTCTCCCAGGACACCCACCCTCCAGCCGCAAGAACTGGCATGCCCCCCGCCCCCGGCCCCCGTGTCATCACTGTCTGTTTCTGTGTCTCCCCTCCCCCCCGAGCGGAGGCTGGTCCCTGTCCCCGCGGTGTCTCGCGCCGCGAGCTCTGCAGGAGGGGGCGCTGGGGCCCAGGGCCCGTGCGCACCCGAAGGTTTCCGCGGGGCCGCAGCGCCCTCTGCCGGGCTTGCCGCGCACTCACCGGGGTGGGGGCATTCACCACCGACAGGTTGTAGCCGTAGAGGAAGGAGGAGCCGAAGGCGCCGGCGAGGGAGGCCACGAGGAGCGAGCAGGACCAGTCCTGGGGGAGAGGAAAGCACGTCAGAGGCGGCACCGGGCGAGCTGCCAGGGCAGAGGGACGGCCTGGGAAGGCCTCCCCTCCTCAGCTGGGGCAGGCCTTCCCGGGGAGAAGTCATTGTCCTTGGCCGGGCTGGAGACGGAGGGAAGGGACGCTAGTTGGGGACCTGCGGACAGGGCTCTCGTTCCGGTCCGCGTGCGCAGGCCGGGCGTCCTCGGGTCCAGCGGCCACGCCCTTGCCTTCCTCCCAGGTTCAGTGAGGATCCCCGAAACGCAGACCTAACGTTTTCAGCAGGTGCTCTGAGCAGTTCCACAGGATCGTTTTAGCTGAATTTGGTGAGTGTCTGACCTGGACAGAAAAAAGCAAAGCCAGACTCCGAGCACTGTCAGCCAGGCGCGATTCTAAGCACTTTCTGCACACTGCCTCTGAGTCCTTAGATCAGTGTTGTTTTATCCTGTATTACAGACGAGGAAAGAGGGGCCTGAAACCGTGGCCGGTGGTATCTGGGTTGGGGACTGGAGTCCAGGTGGCCTGGCTGCAGTGCCCCTGTAGTCACCACTGCACTGCACCGCCTGTCCCCTGCTGACTCGTCACCTGAGTGCGGTGTCCAGGGGCCTGAGGCTGCCGACAGCCACACAGATGTGCGCACATGCACATAATTCCAGGCTGAGGCGTCAATCTACAGGGGCTGGTCCAAGCCTGGGGACAAGGACCTGCAAACAGATGCAAGGTTTGGCACAGAGAACAGGGCATCAGCCCTGGCGTTGTCCTGCCCATGTAAGGATGGCCACCACCAGAACAGGGCCACAGGACAGAAACCCCTGAGCCCCTGGCAAAGGCTGACCAGCTGGCATGAGCCAGGGCAGGAGGAACGGCCATCCTTAGCCGGGCAGGAAATATGGGTCAAGTGGACGGGGACCAGGTGCTCCGGTAGGCACTTTCTTTGCCATCATTTGACAAATTTGTGAATGTGTTGCCTGTTTTGCAAGGCCAGGCCCTGACAAAGCTGTGGGGATGCAGCAGTGAACAAGACAGACAGGTCCATGGTTCAGGGACCTGAATCAGTCAAATCCCATCTGCAAGGGACACGGGTCTCTGATAGCCAGTTCCCTGCTCTGCCCATCTCATGTGTCTCCTCTAGTGCCACCAGCCATGAGATAGAGCGTTGGGGCTTTGAGTCAAGTGATATCAGCTTTACCTCCAGGGACGGTCCCACCACTCAGCTGTAGGAGCCTGAGCAAGTGACTTGCTTTTCTGAGGCTCAGCTTGCCCGCCTGTGAAATGGGATCTCAACAGCAGCACTGGATGCATATGTTGTTGAGGAGCCTGCTGCAGAGGACGTGCTTGGTAGAGGCTGCTGATCACATAGAGGGGTGAGAGGGAGCGTTTGTCAGCCTTGGGGATGGGTGCTGCCAAGTGAAATATGGGACCAGAGTATTTTTCTGCTGTAAGAGGAGCTTGAGCTGAATGGGGATCCCCAATGGAACAGAATCACATTTCAGACAAAACACCTGTTCTCCATCACCCTTCCTCTTTAAACCTGTGCTCTGAGTGTCGGCACAGATTCCGCTTCTTCTGAGTGCCTGGGCCGCACTGGGCATTGTTTCTGTGCACTGTGCCTTTTTTGCTCCCAGCCCTGATGACCTTAGAGGACACAGACTCCTCCCTCATCTGCACCCCATGGATTGGGAGCACCGGGTGTGAAGACCCTGCCAGAGGCTGGTGAAGGGCAGGTGGGGGGCGTCTCCTCTTGCCTCAGCTGTGCTTCCCAGAGCCCCCTGCCCGTGTGGCCCACCTGTGCCCTCCACCTGCTCCCCACTCACTGCAGGGGCAGAGGGTTCCCACTGACCATGGTGCCGCTGCCTGTGCCATGCCCTGGGGAGGGTAAGAAGAGGGGCACCACTGTGCAGGTTCGGGACAGGGCAGTGTTCCACCATGGCCTCGTTTCATGTACACACCCAGCCTACCAGATACACTGTCAGCTGGGGCCTGGAGAGCGTATGCCAAAGTCACACAGCTGGGGAAGTGCCACTCAAACTGGGCCCTCCCTGCCTCAAAGCCCCAGACCTCCCAGCCACATGCTGCCAGGCTGGGGTCGAGTGCTGTCACACGGCTGCCACCCCCGCCTGCCCTCCCCTAGCCCTCCAGCCACGCAGAGCCGGTGTCCGTATTTACCTTTCTTCTCCTCCCACCTGGCACCCCGCTCCTCAGGTGGTCACACTCTGGCAGCGCCCTCCCTGGCCCTGGAGTCCCAGCATGGCTGGTGTCGTCTGTGAGGGAAACTAGGCCCAGTTCCTTGGAATTCATGTTTTGTTTCCTTGGCACTGGTCTTGGTGACCCAGCTGATAGCTCGGCCCAGGGACCCTGGATTCTGCCAAGACATCTCCGTGAATAAGGAGGCAGAGTCCACAGGAAGAAGGGCGGGAGTTTCCGACAGGAAGTGTGGCAATTTGATCATGCCTGAACAGGAAATGGGGCAACATTTTTTTCCCTGCTCCTAAGTTGTTAACAGCAACGAAAGAGTCCAAAAGGGGAAGTCTGTCCTCTCCTGGATCACCACCAGGGGGCGGATTTTTTTTTTCTCAACATCTTTTTATTTTTCTCTCTTAACAAGGCCTGGAGCAGGGTGACTGCCCTTATCCTAGGTTACCTCCCTAATGCTTGGGGCAGAATGGGGAGGTGGCTGACGTTGATTCAGAAGCCTGGGTAGGGCTGTACCCCTGACTCCTCCACTTTTTAACTGTGTGTCCTCAGGCAGGTCACTTTGTTCTCTGAGCTGCCACTTCTACCACTGCAAAATGGAAGATTGACCCCACTCTGATTGTCCTGCAGAATTATTCGGAAGCTCAAATAGAAAACACTCAGCCCCAAGTGGCATGCTGGAAATGAGCGCAGGCTATCCCACAGCCTAGAACAAAGGCAAGGGCTGTGGGTTTGCAAGAAAAAGAATTCGCCTCTTTGGTGTCATTACTCTCTCCTGCTCATTTACCATTGTCTGAGGGGACACGTCCTGTGTGCCAGCCCCAGGCTGGCTCCAGGACCGCACTGAGAAGGCACCAGGGCGTTGTGAGAACCAATTCATTGCATGGCCACGCTGCCTCAGATATCAGAGAAGCACCTTCACTTTTGGCTAGGACAGTTTGCTCCCAGAATCAGAGAGCGGAGCAGAGGCTGGGCCAGAGCCAGGGACAGGCTTGGGGAATGTAGGATGCCCAGGAGGCAAGGTAGGGTTCAGTCTACAAAACAGAGACTGAGAAGCCAGCAAAGGAGGTTTAGTTAAAAGCACACACTAAAGTAAAAGGTGTGGAGTACGGCAGGCATGCCGGGAGTCTGGAATGTGAAATGCACCCTGAAACATCCATCCCGGACATGCGCGGTGGTGGGAATGTGGCCGCTCAAGGCAAGTGGGGAACCAAGATGTCCCAAAAGGAAAACCACCCCTCAGGAGTTAGGCTGGGGTGTACTGAGCGCATCCGTTATTCAGTGCAGTTGTCCTTCTGCATATTGATGAGTCAGGCACGCCCCTGGGAGAAGTGGCTATTACTTGAACTGGATTTCAGCCATGCAGCCTGGTTTCCTCACTGAGTGGTGGGCCTAGAGTGGCATTCTGATGTGCAAATCCTCGATTATAACATGACCTGAAACAGTGGAGGATTTCCCAGGACAGCATGAGGGAGGCACCATACCAATCTCAGCTGACCCCCTGGAAGAGGCGGCTTCTGAGCAGACCGAGAAGGATATGGGGTGAGAGGGCAAGGAACCAGGGCCTGCAGGCACAGATGCCTGCTGTGTGGGGGAGTGACCCTGTCAGTGGGGCATGTTTGGTTCCTGAAGTGCAGGACGTGGGCAGAGGAGGGGCAGGGGCAGCCCCATCCCTGGGCATGGAGGGCCCGTCCGCCCCTGTGCCATCCTGATGGGGACTGCATTTTCATCATCTCATTTCCTCCTCCTCATCCCATTGCTGTGACTCCCTTCTCTGCACCCTCCCTGTTTCCTCATCTGTAACAGCAGGGACCTCCCCAGATTTTGCTAAAGCTCAAATTGGATCAGGTGACCCCTCATCTCGTTAAAAATTGTTTCATAGTTCTCTGTTGGGATTGAAAACTCAAAAGGTGCCAGAAATAAGGCAGTCAATGCAAATATGTAACTACAGCTGGATAGAAAGTAAGAGGGAGGATGGGTCCCTCCCGAACACAGTGGCAGTTTACCGGGGCTCCCGGTAGCCAAAGCACCTGCCTCACCTTCAGCTCATGCTACACGTGCACAGAGCTTTCCCAAGTGCGTTCACATTCATGTTATCATCCAGTCCTCAGAGGAGCCATCAGACCTACATTTCGGGGCAACGGCTGAAGTTCAGGGGGAGCAGAGAGGAGCCTGCCTCCAAAGCTAGGGCCGGTTTCCCATTCCACACGGCCAGCAGCCCTGAGCTCCAGGCAACTGCAAAGGAAGCGACTCTTATCACAGATGAAGTCATAAGACATATATCCCTGGGTGTTTGGGGCTGGGGCACATTCCGCCTGCTCTGACACTTACTGGTTTCTTCACTTACTCATCCCTTGCCTGTCTTTATGGAGCTCCTACTCATTCAGGTCCTCCTGGCCTTGCTCAGGCCCTCCCAGAAGACTCCCCTGAACTGTGCTCACCCTTCAGCACTCAGCTGCCTCGCCACCTCCTCCCAGCAGCCTCCCTGATCTCACGCTGTCTCTGTGCTCTACGTGCTTCTGCTCACATGTGCCTTCCCCTTTGCACAGGAGCTCACTGCGGGCAGGAACGGTGTGCATCTCAGTGGGCTGATTGCATTCCCCCAGATTCGCGACATGTTGAAGTCCTCACCCGCAGTATCTTACAGTGTGGCTGTGTTTGGAGATAGGGTTTTTGAAGAGGTAATAAGATTAAATGAGATCATATGCATGAAGCCGTAATTCAGTATGCCTGGTATCCTTATAAGAAGAGGAGATGAGGGGACACAGATGCACACAGAGGGATGACCACGTGAGGATGCAGGGAGAAGGCATGCAGGGAAAATGTCAGCAGCCAAGAAGGGAGGCTTCAGAAGGAACTAACCTGCTGACACTTTGAGCTTGGTCTTCTGGCTTCCAAGACTGTGAGACAATACGTTTCTGTTGTTTAGGTTGCCCGGCCCGTGGGACATTGTCCCGGCAGTCCCAGGAAACTCACAGTATTCTAAGCCTCTTTGTATTCCTAGCCTCCCTCCAGCCTGGCTCAGGGACGGGGTCCAGTAGCTAGGCATCACTTCTGGAACTGACCTGAAACTGTCCTCCAGATGATTTCCTAAGGCTATAAAGTTGTCTTGGACAAGGTGGAAATTTTCTAGCAGGGAAGAGTTGGAAAAGAAGGGACATTTTCTATTGAACGTCATTTAAGCAGAATGTTTGAAATGACTACATCCCTTCCTCATTACACCAAATACCAAGACAGTCGATCCTTGACTCACCCAGTGTAAGCACCAAGAAAAGATATAGTGTCTACTTAGTGGGAACTTCTCTCTGTTGACATGATCCTTGTGTGGGGTCCTGGGTGATCTCAAGCAGGTGACTACACCCTTATCCTGCATTTTGCACCTCTGTGGAGACGATGTTCAGCTTGCCAATTTCACACTCTCGGTAACTTGCTAAATGGACTTGTGTTGATCTCTGTCACCAAATACAGGTGTGCTACAAATATAAATACATCTTCCTGGGGTTGCTGTAGCTTCCACACCCTTCACAGGAGACAAGGCACAGATGGTTCAAGGTTTACGACCAGCTCAAACCTGTGCTAGCCACATAGCCTTGGATAAGTGGCTTCAGCTCTTTCTGACCCTCAGTTCTTCGCCTATAAAATGGGGCTAGTGATGCCTTCACCATGGTTTGATCCAGAGAGACCCATGTAAAGAGTTTCTCTTTAAATGGGAGCCCTATGTAAAGGTCCAGCACAGAGTAGGCACTCTCTGGCTGTTGGTTCTTAAATCAGGTTTAAAGAGAGGGCCTGATGCATCCCAAGAAGGAAGAAAGTCATTCTATTAAGAACTGCTGAGGAATTCCTGGAGGAAGGGGCAGGTGGACTAAGCCTTGTGATGGATTAGGGGGTGGGTTTTAGTGTATCTTTAAGGATGATGACATAATCATTGCCAACATCAATGTCCCTTGTTGAGAAATGACTTTTGTAATGGAGGCGTTTGCCCCAAGCCCAGAAAGTCACCAGCAGATCAGGACTGTCCATTTCACTCTTCTGAGGCTCACCCCATACACTCTACAATCCCCATGGCCCCTTCCTATAGAACTTGACTTTTAGCTGCTGCTCAATCTTTTCTCTGCCCAGCTTCACCTTAACAGCCTCCCCCTGACCCAGAGGAAGGGACAACTACACCATGGGTGACCAGAATAGTCATCTAAGGGAGAGAGAAAAAAAAAGAGGACTAACCAATTTCTTTTTCGCTGAATCACTTTCCTTGTCTTCTCCTCGGTCCTTTTCATGGAGCTTCATGGTTCACTTTTCAGGTTTTTAACTTTTGTTGTTGTTATTGTTTCTGAGAAAGAGAAAAAGAAAGAAGCCACTAGACATTAGACAGCTGCTGTCTCACATGTGCAAGTCAGGGGAGGTGGCCTGGGGCAGCCTTCAAAAGGTTTGCTGTGAGGGGCTCTGGCTGGGATGCCAGGATGGGACACTCAGCATCCTTGATTGAACCCCAGGTACCCCAGAGACCTGGGTACCTCCCTGCTCTCCTCTGGCCTCAGTTTCTCTATTTTTAAGTGTAGGGCTTTCCACACTTGCCTTGTTGCTTATTAAATACAGGCTGCTTTCTGGAATATTTTCATTCAGATGGTAATTCTTATGATGAGGCATGTTTTGAAAACACTAGGCTGGCTGTCTCCAAGATGTAAAAATAAAATCAGTGCAAATTAAAACAAAGTGCCAATCTCACCTGTCAAATTGGAAACAGTTACGAAAATCATGCCCTGAATCACTGGCATGACAGAAGTAGAAAATTGCATAGCTTTTCTGGAGTTTGGAAATATGTTTCTAGAATCATAAAAATATTTCTTCCCTTTGGCCCAACCACTATACTTATAAAAATGAATTCTAAAGCAGGACTGAAAATGTGCACAAAGATTTAAGGTCAAGATGTTCACTGCAGCATTTTCCACATCAGAAAAATGATATTTGTAACAGGATAAAATATCTAGCAGAAAAATGTGGATACATTGCAGTACATCCATATGACGGAATCTTATAAAGTTCTTAAAAATTATGTTATAGGAGAACATTTGATGCAGGAGGAAATGCTCATAATAAATTCTTACTTGACCAGAAAAAGGAAGATATATAAACAAACATTATTCAACATTAAAAATAGATGCAATTGCCAGGCGTGGTGGCTCCCAGCTGTAATGCCAG